AACATTTTCTAAGTGATTGGCATCACTTGCAGCAGTTTGAGAGGAACTATCCAAAGTGAGCAGGAAAGTTGTGCCAGGGCTGCTTCCATAGAGGTGTTACAGAAGGAGCCCTATGCAAAGTGCAGACCACCCTCATCACAGAAGATTTCCTACCAAGCCAGAAGTCTCCAGCATGTTGTTGAAATCTGCAGAAGTTTGAACTAAGGGCCATGTCAGTGTCTTGTTTTGGAACGGGGACAGTCTACAGGCAACAGAAACTACCAGAGCTCTGAAACAGGCACGCAGTGCTAGCCTGCCTGATTCATAGCATGTCCTTGGAAGTCTACCTGCACAACCTATGAAAGATAAGTCTTGCTTGCAAACTGTCAAAAAAGGCCAAGGACAGTCTGGGCATTCTCCTAAGTAATTCTTTGCTCTTGATGCAAAAGAAACCCTTACTAATAAAAAAAAAAATGCCAGTATCCTAACTGGATCCAAGTGTGTGAAATTTAATTTCCCTGAGGGCTGAGAGTGAAGATTGGGTAAGAAAACTGGGACACAAATGGATTGGTTCATATGAAAACCTGAAATAGCCCTGGGCAGAAATTTGGAAGTATTGTGAAATACTGTATAAGAAGAATCCATCTTCATATGCAGGGAGTAACTCAAGATGGGAGATGTAGCAACACAAACAAATGCCTCAAAAGGTTCTATAAAGAAATATATACAAGGTTTTAAATGAATTTTTCACATTCTATGGTGGGAATATAGGATGTGGCAATCTAATGCCATGGTGTTATGCAAATATTTGTACCGGATGACTTGGTCACAACTAATTAAAAGTTCAGATGCTTTGAACATATGAGATAGACAACACTGCTGATATTGCTGATATCAGAGATATCAGACAGCTGATGCTCATATGATCAAAGTTAAACATCTTCCCATTTAGTTCTGATAGTCAGTGAAGGTTGTCTTAGCCTGATGCACAATAACTTTTGGTAGATGCCATGCAAACAGCATTAAGGCTGGGAGACAGAGGAATGTCAACTCCAAGCAAAGCATTCAATCCTACTGCAAGACGGTAACACACTGGAAGGTGAGGAGGCTGCTCAGGTTTAAATAGCAGAACTAACAGGCAAGTGCTTCCTCTCCTCATATTCATAAATCCTAACTCCTCTACCCATTCTTCTCCGACCCTCTGGTGATCATAGGGAACAATGGGACAGCATGTATGTGCCTCAGCTCTCAGAGGAGAAAGGCTTCTTCAGCAGATCCTCATCTTCTTCCCTGGAATATTTATTTTTTTTTTAGTTCTGGGCAGTGGAAAGTAAACAATGTTTTAAGAGAGCCTTCAACTGCAAAAACAAAGTCATAAAAAAATTTAGTGCACCCAGATTTTTCAGAGATAACTCTGTATTGCCAAATATCAACTGAAGGTCTGATAACTTAGCGTAAACCGAACCACTTGTTGAGAAGAGGAAAATGTGATCTAGTACAAATCAGAACAAATTCCAAACCCATAAGATTCCTCACAGAATGCAAACAATTTGTCTGACATATGAATAACGTAACATCAGTCAATAACACACAACAGGAGGAACAATCTGTATAAGGGTGAAAGAACCAAGATCTGCAGTCTTGGTGGAAAGAGCTGCATAAAAGGACACCTGCCCCTCCTCAGGTATTTTTAAAAAAATATTATTTCTTTCAGCAGACTGACCTTACATTAGGTCTTCTTGGTAGATATACTGATTCAAATTGCCTCTTCCTGAAGCTTAAGCCTGGCACATTGTATTATGCAGCTGCATGAGATCATGTCTGAGGCATGGTCTCACTGGTGTCTTGGGAGAACCTGAAGCCTGTTGAGGAGATGAAGTGTTCATATGGGATTTTCCTTGTGAAAACAGTAGGTTCTCTCTGGTCTGGACTATAACCAGGCTCTTTCAAAACATATGCTACTGGATTTTTAAATTAATTTTGAGTGGTTTTTTAAGCATTATTTCAGCTTCAGAATTTAAAATTCCAGGACTACTCAATTCAGACTATTAGATAGCTGCTTGCCTGTTGGATTGCTTCACTGTGTCAGCCTTTGGCCAAAACACAAATAGGCTCCAATTCCTTGGGATCTTCAATCACAAGAGCATTTGAGCGAAGCCCACAAAGACCTTTCCATAGCAAAGGGCAGGGATCCAGCGGCAGCAAGACACTTTTACAGTCACACCAGGTTTTCTTTGGAGGAATGAATGGATACTTGTCAGTAGGCATTTTACACATCAAGGCACAAACCAGGTTGAGGGATCTAACATAAGAATTATGGAAAATAAGCCCTGCGAGCTATAAGTCTTTACCTGATATCACTTAAGGAACTCTTTTCTAAAAATAATCTTCACAATTCATACTCTACTGTCCAGGAAGGAGAAAGTATAGAGGTATAAGATTACATGCTACTAAGTCCAAAAGGAGAAGGAAGAGTACACTTGCTTCAAAGCAACGACTGCTCTATCAGGATAGGTCTCCTTCACACCAGCAAGTCATAGTGACTCCAAAGCTGCTGGTTTGGATATCACTCTTTCAATCTCTCAAAGAAAGATGACTCTGGTACCTGGCCCATAGATGAAAGGTTCACTTTAGGCTTCTGGCCCTTAGACTACAATGTAATACGAGTCAGAAGCCTAATGACTTTCATGTCTCAACCTGTTAGATGCTGGAGCCTGCAACCTATGCCTTGACTCATCCCTGGAGCAGTACTCTTTCAGGCAAGATAATAAAGACCTTCTTTTTCAATGACAATACTTCATATGCCAGTAAGTCTCAGGAGGTTTCTACTGGCCCAAAAATATCTATGAGGTCTTGCCTTAGTTTTGATCTCATTCACACATGTGATGCTGGCAGAAAGGGAAACATGTAAGCAATATTGACCAAGACCTTGTGTAAGAAAGTTAGACTCTACATATAAACTGACTGGGTCAGGCTCCAAGGAACAATTTGTATTAATGTCCAAATATTACTGGATAATTTGTACACAGCACTCACTATACATAAATATGTATAGATATATATACACATATACCCCTCATCCCACCCCTCCCAACTGGAAAAAAAACTTTGTGGCAAAATCTCATGGGCAAAACCCAAACAACTATATCATGATTGCTGCCTTATTGCTTTATGCCATTGTCTTTACATTCAAACGAGTTTAATAATTGCTCTTTTGAAGCTGCTAATATTAAAAAAAAAATAATCTCTCAAGTCCTGGAAGTGGCTGGGAATTCCAGGTTCTAACAGCTATGATAGAAATACTCCCTCATCAAGAGGTTCAAAAGACATTTACTGTCAGAACTGAAACACAAACACATGTCAGAACGACTTGAAACAGAATGACTATAACTCAGAGTTTGGGTTTTCTTTAAATTATGTTTGAAGAGCTTTAAAATGTTTAATTTATTAAACTGGCTTTGATACTACAGGCATAGCTTTCACTTTCAAGTGCTACAATGGTTCAGTTGAACACAGAATACATTAAGCTAAAATTCCACTGCCACCATACACACTCATGAAAGACATTTTAGTGTTTCTTCACTTGAAGTAATATACTGTCTCTGTGAATTTGACATGAAAACAGAAGCTGCAGGTATTAATAGCAGCAGCCTCTCATACTGCACACACAACTGTGTCAGACACCATTACTGCCCCAACAACCAAAAAACCACTAAGTAATCACAACCACTAGTAGCTGAACACAACCAGCTCTTTAAAAATACTTCCCAAAACAACAGATTTGGTTTTCGAAGAACAGTTCAAGTTTTGCCAGACATTGCTTCAATCTCTCCTGGCAGACCTGGGCTTTGGTATGGCCTATTTTACTTCCCTCTGTCAGGTCTCCCTTGAGGAAGTTGTCATAAGAAAAGCCATGTGCCCAGCTGTTTCTCTTTCATACCCCTGTATTTACTGTTCTCTTCCTCTAGCCATGTCAGCTCCTAGTGTCAGGAGCACTACTTCAGTCCACCTAATGCTACAAGGTGATGCTGCAGAGGCAGTAATACCAGTGAAACTCGGGCTTTGAACAAAATCACATCCCATGAAATATGCTTTCTACCCTTTGGAAAGGCAAGTTGGAGTTGTAGGATCAAGAAACTCAAAACTTGCCCCCTAAAATGCTGTAAAGACCATAAAGGTAACACTGCCTTCCCCCTAGAGCAGGATCAGGCAGTGAAGGGCAAGACATAGACTAACACTGTGGACACAATCAACACCTGCTATCTGATAACCAACTCTTAGAATTACAGTACCACTGGAGTGTTTGCCTGCATCACCATCATGTAATATCCACACACACTGTCCAATACACTGTTTTCTTAAAGCTGCACTCTTGTTTCATTGTTTCATCTACATTCACCATTTGCTCACACATGCAGCAGTTTTCTAACCACTTAATACCAGTAGGCTACCAGAGCCACAAATGCTTCATTCAAAAGGTATGTGAGAGTTAAGGGTCTAATTAATTGAAAAGTCCTAAGATTCTATAAAAAAGTATTCAGTTAATACTGCCCTACATTTTGTTACATTCAACCTTGCCTTTACTCAAGTGACACATCTGAGATTATGTGTTGACAGGACAGGAGAGTGGTAACTGCTCCAAAAGAAACAAAACAAATACCCCCACACCCCCACCTGTGGGCTTAAATGCAGTATCACTACAGTTTCTGAATGTAACAAGCCACAGAATGGGTGCCCTGGCAGAAACTCAGAATCCTAGGGAGTAGAAAGTAAGCGTTCTTTACTATCAGCTTTGTTTTACTACATACTCATCAGGGTTTGCAGAAGTGCCATTTGTCGGAAACATAGTAAAGCAGGGAAAGAAAAGTCAGTCTCAAACCGCCTACGAACAAAGAAAGCTAATTTAATTTTGAAACAAAAGGAACTAAATTCATCATTCTGAGACAGCCCCGGGACATCCAAGCATGAAATAGAAGAAAAGGAGTTGCCAAAGACATGCAGAACAAGCTTTTTAAAGTTACCTGGAATCAGGATATTTTGTAAGCGTGGCCAAGCTGCTGGTATACATGTGCCCACCCACATCAATGTGAACTGGTGCGTTGGATTTTGTGAGCTGTGCTGGAGTGGGGATGCCTTGATTGTTCAATGGAGATGCAGGGGATCTAGTGATCAGAGGTCTTGACATATTGGGCCGACTGTCCTGTGAAGAGATAGACCTGGGTTAATGATCTCCTTAAAACCTCACGGAAACCCACAGTCTCAAATCAGTAGCACTGTCGTCTCATAGTCTCGGATTATGACTTCTATCTTCGTAAAGCACGACGAGTATTTGGCAGTTTTTAAAATGAATCCAGATCCAAGAGTTTTAACTGGCTATATTTTAAATAAGTGGGGCAAAATGCACTGAGAAAACCCACAAAGTAGAAATCACGTTCAATAAAACAAGTTTTTCCTGAATATTCCTTGTGCTAGACAATCCATACTGACAGAAAAGGTCATTCTTTTTAAGTTGATAAAGGCACTGACAGAAAGAGCTGAAGACAAAAAGACCAAGAACAATATTTTTCTTAATTAAGACAACCCCAGGTAGACTCTCTGTTCCTTCCCAAGCCCTCTGTCACTGCCATACCATCAGAACAGAAATACAAACCCTCAACTCCTCCATCCTGCACACTCTTCTCTCGAATTCCTAATTCACATAGCACGGAAACAGAAGCAGAAACACCTGGACTAGTCAACTGCTCATGGACTGCAGACCACTGGACATCGACAGCCTTTGAGAAAGACATTTTCCATTTAAGAGTTATACGTATGGCGACAGCTGCCCCGCGTGCCCCACATAGGCTGCAGGTCTGAGCTGCGTCCCGAGGCCGGTGAGCTCTGAGCGCGGAGCGAGAGCCGATGCTGTGCTGATGAAACCAACTTTTAGTCACAAAGGAAGCGCAGTACAGCCAGCACGGAGCAGCGGCCGCCTGCGCGGCGGGTGGGGGGGGGAGGGGCGGGGAGCTGGAGCCAGGCAGGCAGGGGGCAGGGCAAAGTGGGGGATAAAAAA